TTTTTTTTAATATTCGTATTATTTTTCGAGCTAATCTTTTTTGGGATTTTTCTATAACAATACCGTTTAAGCTTTAACTGAAAACATATAAATCACCGTTTCAAACTCTATACAAAACTTAGGAAAATTCAACAAATTTTCGTCAAAATTTTAACTTTTTAATCTGCATCTTTAGAATTTTTTTGGGTATGTAGTTTTATAGTCCTAAACGATATTAGTCTAATGAAGTGCAAGTTTCAAATGGTTTAAAAAATCGCGTTGATTTTTGATAATTTTTTTGGAGACTGCTTTTGCGGTTTATTTTTTAAAGACGGCTGTATCCATTTTTGGAATCCAAATAAATAAATAAAAAACTATTATACTGCAAAAAAAAAAAGAATAGATACGAGTGTAACTTATTCTGGATAGGTTGGGTACTTACAGTTAATCTCATTCGTTATGATTATGATGGTTAAGATCAGTTAACATTATTGAGAACTGTGGTAAATGTTTGCCACTTTCCCAACCAGCTAAACGGTTTGTCCTCAGCTTGGACACTTAAATCTAATTTAGCCGAATACCCTTGTTTAGAAGAAGTACTCCTACTGTCTGAAGCCCGCATCGTGGAGTCAGCCATTTTGTTAATAAAATCGTCTTTTTCAGCCTTGAATTTAACTGTTGTTCTGAGCAGTGAAGCTTGAAATTTTTTATTTCTCAGCAAGCTTTCAGTTTTCGCATCTATGCCAACTGTAATTGTAATACTACCATCATTTGTTTCCCTTCGTTGCATTACTATCCATTCGTTCGTAACAAAATAATTCTCCCTTTCTAACAGCCAGACGATGTCCTCTGTTGGTAGTGCCTTTAACCGGTCTCTCAATACGAAGGAATATAGCGGAAGTTTTTGTCCATCAATAGTTTTATTGCAAGATTTCGTTATACAAGAACAGTGTTGTATTTTTTGAAAGTGCTCTTTTCTTACATTAGAGCTACAGGATTGTAGAAGATTTTGTGCGGAAAGTTCTTTAGTTTTTTCTGGCTTTGATTTCTTACAAGTTTTTCTTCTTGAAGATTCAGGCATTGACGAAAGCTTTTTGGCATTAGTTCCTTGTTTTGGATTGGGGTGTTTCAGAAGTGCTTGCTGCTTCTGAGTAATTAAACCGGGCAAGTTACAAACTTCTTCACTTAATTGTTGATCACCTTTGATGTTAATGGAAACCACCGATTCTGTGGTTTTTGAAGCTATTTTTAGTACGTTTAAATGAACAATGTTTTCCGGCACTGATGGCATCGTTTCTAAATGAAACGCGAGCTTCAAATCATTTTGACGTTTTTTGCGAAGCCGCCTTCTCGCTGATTTTGATAGTCGGCTTTTTTTGTGGTCTAATTGTATTGCGGAGATTTTCTTTTGAATGTAAACAATGTCGCGCTCCATATTTTTTCTTGCTGGCGAGGCCATGTGGTGAAGACCAGTTTTTCTAAGTAATAGCCATTTTTCGATGTTGTTATCATATTCCAAGGCTAAATTTTGGGTAACTTCACTTTGAACTGCAGCATTATAACTTGTATCCATTCTATGCGTAGGAAATATAGAAATGCCCTATATGCCGCAGATTATTTACACACTGATTTTGAATTTTTTTATATATATGCAAAATGTCATATAATTTGTAATATTTTGAAAAATCGCGCTCATTATACATAGTTTACATCTGGAAAGAAAAGATAACATATTTGTTTTAAGTTTTAAACATTTTCTTAATTAAATAAATATGTAAATTAAGAATGTGGCCCTTATATTTGAAAATCAAAAATTTGCGGGTGCAAATTTTGGCATAATTAATCAAATCCGACCCGTACCACAAACATNTTTTTTGCGAAGCCGCCTTCTCGCTGATTTTGATAGTCGGCTTTTTTTGTGGTCTAATTGTATTGCGGAGATTTTCTTTTGAATGTAAACAATGTCGCGCTCCATATTTTTTCTTGCTGGCGAGGCCATGTGGTGAAGACCAGTTTTTCTAAGTAATAGCCATTTTTCGATGTTGTTATCATATTCCAAGGCTAAATTTTGGGTAACTTCACTTTGAACTGCAGCATTATAACTTGTATCCATTCTATGCGTAGGAAATATAGAAATGCCCTATATGCNTTATAACTTGTATCCATTCTATGCGTAGGAAATATAGAAATGCCCTATATATGGCGCAGATTATTTACACACTGATTTTGAATTTTTTTATATATATGCAAAATGTCATATAATTTGTAATATTTTGAAAAATCGCGCTCATTATACATAGTTTACATCTGGAAAGAAAAGATAACATATTTGTTTTAAGTTTTAAACATTTTCTTAATTAAATAAATATGTAAATTAAGAATGTGGCCCTTATATTTGAAAAGCAAAAATTTGCGGGTGCAAATTTTGGCATAATTAATCAAATCAGACCCGTACCACAAACAAATCGAGGTTGAGATAACGACAGTATCACTTTGTGTCAGTGCTGCCTTTGGCTAGCCACCTTATTAGCGGCCTTTGCACGGTCACTATTGTAAAAAAAGGATCAGTACAGCGCCTTCGTCGTAGAGTACGTGATATTATTAAGATCACATTCATGTTAAAAACGGTACTTGAAATAATCATTTTGATTGTATTGAATTAAATTTAATAAATCAATATGAGACAAAATATATATAATTAGCAATAGAAAGCAGATCCACATTAACTTCAATCATATGAACCACCAACCTATAAATAGACATACACAGGGCTGCCAGCTTGGCTCAAACCGTGCCATTTTTGGCCCTATTTTACATCAAATGGCACTTAATTTTTCAATTTGGCACAAAGTTCCCAAATAGAACTTTTGAAAAATAGTAATATTTCAATACATTTATGAGAAATTCTTTGTGGGTATTTCTTTTTCTCAACTAAAATTTTATAATTTCTAAAGGTTATTCAACTGGTTTATTTTATTTTGGCACTGGACTTTTGTTTTAGAAATGTGGTTCTTATTTTATTGCTAATTGGGAAGGATTAGAAAAATGACACCTTTTTGGCTCTTTTATTTTTCTATTGGGCACATTTTGGCACTTTTTTATCCTCAATATGGCACCTGATAGCGAAGGATAGTTGGCAGCCCTGGACATACATATTAGAGGTATACGCCGCCGAGCCACGCCGCCGCCGCCGCCGTTTTTTGTCATTCCTCACGCGCCGCCGCCGAGTTACGAAAATATAGGCGCGGCGGCGGCGTCCGGCGCCTAAGGAATTTTGTAAAAAATTTTCACNAGATAACATATTTGTTTTAAGTTTTAAACATTTTCTTAATTAAATAAATATGTAAATTAAGAATGTGGCCCTTATATTTGAAAAGCAAAAATTTGCGGGTGCAAATTTTGGCATAATTAATCAAATCAGACCCGTACCACAAACAAATCGAGGTTGAGATAACGACAGTATCACTTTGTGTCAGTGCTGCCTTTGGCTAGCCACCTTATTAGCGGCCTTTGCACGGTCACTATTGTAAAAAAAGGATCAGTACAGCGCCTTCGTCGTAGAGTACGTGATATTATTAAGATCACATTCATGTTAAAAACGGTACTTGAAATAATCATTTTGATTGTATTGAATTAAATTTAATAAATCAATATGAGACAAAATATATATAATTAGCAATAGAAAGCAGATCCACATTAACTTCAATCATATGAACCACCAACCTATAAATAGACATACACAGGGCTGCCAGCTTGGCTCAAACCGTGCCATTTTTGGCCCTATTTTACATCAAATGGCACTTAATTTTTCAATTTGGCACAAAGTTCCCAAATAGAACTTGTGAAAAATAGTAATATTTCAATACATTTATGAGAAATTCTTTGTGGGTATTTCTTTTTCTCAACTAAAATTTTATAATTTNCAGGGACGTGAACCGGATGAAAAATTTTGTCGGTTCGGTTCAGCGGTTCGAACCGTTTTTGCACTTTTGGATTGGTTCCTCAAAGCGGTTTTTTTGGTCTTTGAACCGGAGTTTCGGTTCGGTTCAACGGTTCGAAAAACAAACAAGTAATAAAGTCTAAGATCGGGCGGAGCCGGACATAAAACACCCGGCGCAAGTATTAAATATATGATTTTCACCTTTCCGAGAGCCACCGCAACATGGTAAGCGGGGTCTATAAATTTTGAGTAATTAAGCGTCCTTAAATTTCGAAATATTGAAGTTTCAAGCATTTCTGAAATTTACCGTTATATACAAAGCGGCCTCAATTTTAGTCTGATTTCAATAATTTTGAACGTTTTGCTTTTATTTGGCAAGCACAATAGCCATACCGAGTTTGGTATAAATTGGTAGACCGGTTACCGAGATACACATATGTGATCATAAGTGGGCGGTGGCACGCCCGTTTCCCAAAATTTTATCACAAACGTATTTCTTCTGTCTTTCTGTCACAGGGTAGGATTACAATATTTAACAAAAAGGAAAAAAGTAGGTACATTTATCTATTAAAACTTGGTTGAAACGAACCTTTAAACCTTTATGGAAAGTGGTTCGGTTTTCGGTTCGGATCAAACATTTGTGGAAAATTTCGGTTCGGTTAATGGTTCAGTTAATTAATAGAAAAAAGCGGTTTTCCGGTTCAAAACCGGTTCGGTTCAAAACCGGTTCACGTCCCTGGTTATAATAGAAGCGGCCTCTTTGCTTCTAACTCCTCCATTATTGAAGATAAAACAAAGACAAGTTGATTTTTCTATGAATTTTTTTTAATATTTTAAACAAACTCATCTTTTTGCTAATATTTACATTCGTAAGCTATTTTATTCTGGGGTCCCACATACGTATGCAAGTACTAGGTGGCTGTGTGAAAATTACGTTAGCATTCCTTAGTGGTGGTCAGACCCCAGGAAGGGTTGGCTCCCTCGCATCGCAATGTTTTCTACACAGGGTTAAAGTTCCCTCTTTATGGTAAACATTAGTATTATTTTTCATTACATTCTCCTTACAAAAATTTGGCGCTTTAAATTTTAGTAGAAATTTTAACCATCTATAAGCCATTTTTTTTCAACAGAGGGTCAAAAAGGCCCGTTTGGTTCGAGTTGATGGATTAAACTTTTGGAAAAAAGTAGACCAACCTTGTTTTCAATATTTAATCCGCAAAAAATCAGAATTGCCAAATCTGTCGATAGCAGGTCATTCAGGGAGTCAAATAACTCAATTTTGCTAGCCTCTTTAACATTTTTAAGCTCGTAAACATATTAATAGCTGTAAGCAGTAAAGAACTTTCAAGAAATTCTGGCGATAAGGCGATTCAAATAGGAATACAAATACAAAAATTTATAAAAACTAAAACTACAGTCGAAATTCGACCGTTTTTCTAGTTTTTAAGAGCCCTGGAGTCGGAACTAAAACGTGACTACAACTTTTTATATTTCTGAAGGACTTCAGCAGCACCTGTATCATTTTCTCTGTATACGTATTTTGATCCTACTAAGGAAGTAATTTTGTCAGTTGACGCGTCTAAGAACGCAGTTGGCGCCGCTATTTTGCACGACCGAAATCCCATAGCATACGCATCAGCTTCACTAACAGATTCCCAAACAAACTACGCTCAAATAGAAAAAGAGCTCTTCGCAATTCTGTTTGGTTGTACCCGATTCCATCGGTTTATTTACGGTTTACGAATTATATATTCTTAGATATTCTTATATAGTGAATACAGACCATAAACCACTTGTTTCATTATTTCAAAAACCGCTCCACAATATACCAGGTCGACTCCAAAGATTCATGTTTCGATTTCAATGTTACGACTTAGTTGTAAAGTATAAGCCTGGAACTCAGCTTTATATTGCAGACACTCTTTCACGCGCTCCCTTAAAAGAAACAGCTCTAACTGAATTCGACAAAGACTTGGCCTTACATTGTAGTCTTTTAACAGTGAATTTCGCAATCCCCTCTGATGAAATAAACAAATTAAGGCATACTCAAAAACTGATGAAACATTACAAAAAATTAGACAGTATGTTAGTTATGGCTGGCCAGAAAATAAAACACTAGTTAGCAAAGACGTTATGCCTTATTATAAATTTAAAAATGAAATACTTGAGTATGAAGATATTCTTTTAAAAACTAATCAAATTATTATATATATATAATGCACTTCGTAGAAACATTTTAATCCGTGTGCATGAGAGTCATTTGGGTGTACAACGCACCCAAAGCTTAGCTAGGCCGTCGATGTATTGGCCCAATATGTATAATGACATACATATTTAACCTAGTCACGGATTGTGAGACCTGTATGAAATACCGAAATTCAAATCCAAAGGAGGAAATCATGCCACATGAAATAATTGAAATTCCCTGTATAAGATGGGTTGCGATATATTTGAATTTAATAACAAAAAGTATTTATTATTGGTTGATTACTATTCTAAATGTATCGAAATTGAATGCTTAAGTAATGGTTTTTCTGCATTTGAAGTTAAGAATAAATTAAAATTAATTTTTTCCAGACATGGAATTCCACACTTATTGGTAACAGATAATGGTCCTCCTTTCCAATCAAAAGAATTTGGGGAGTTTTGTGGTGAATAGAACGTGGAGCATAAAACTTCCAGCCCATACGTAGCAAGGTCGAATGGACTAGCAGAACGGTCAATCCAGACAATAAAGAAAATGTTTACAAAGTGCCTGGAAACGAAAACTGATCCACTCATTGCATTACTTAGTTATAGAACCGCACCTAAAGGTAACATGCCAAGTCCGGGAGAGATGTTAATGTCTCGAGTTTTAAGGACCAAAATTCCGAATATTAGGCAAAATTTAGAGCCCAAAGTTATTGATAAAAGTAAATATTCTAATATTAAGAAAGATAAATTTATACAAACAGCCAAAAATTACAATAAAAATACTCGAACTTTGAAACCGATAAGATTAGGTGAGAGGGTTATGTTTAAAAGAGCGCCTACTTCGCTATGATTTCCGGGAGTAGTTGCTGAAAAACTTAATGAGCCGCGCTCTTTTGTTATTAAAGATTCGGAAGGAAATGTGTTTTCAAAAGGGAGATAAGTATGTATTCAACTATTATACCGCTGGATATTTAAAACATTGTTTTTTTAAAACCTTACAGTCTTTAGAGCATTTTGAAATGGAAATATTAAATCATTTTGTTGATCCCGCGATGCTGTCAAAGAAACATCTTCGTATATAATGAATAAAACTACTTCTGAAATAAGCATTCTACCGGAAAAGTGCAGCTATACTAAAATAGCTTAACGAATAGGAAGCTTAACCGAATGTACCATAGTAGACTAATTTTAATTTAAAAATTCTATCGTTTCCTAAATTCAGGTAATATTAATAATGGAGTAAGATTTTTAGTACAGAAAGTGATGATCAATATATATTAGTTTAAGTACGATAAAGTTAAAAGTTTGGCTCATAAGGCGGCCAGAAAGAAAATAGTTTTCCTCCTCTAATTTATGCTGAGCTGAATATTTGTATTACTGTTTTATATTTTGATTTGTTTACCCCGAACGACGTCGGGTGCTCTGCTAGTAAATATATAAGATAAAATAATGTAAAAAAAAATATTTTTTAAAAACAAGCTTTTATTTAACCTGTACAATCAAAGGAATAAAATGAAGTAGTGTAACAAAAGATTTTTTAGCAAGACAATTTTGTCAAAACTGCACTAAAATGAATACAATAAAATAAGTTAAGGTTTATAATTTTTAGTCCATTTATAAAAGCGTTGTATATTATAAATTGTTATTTTATTTTATGTACAAAATTTTGCAATAGATATTAAAATAATTCAACTTGCAATGAAAGAGAACAGAAGACTTGGCAAGCAAAATGTTGTTTGCTTACGTTTTGTATAAACATACATATGTACATATAGCAGCAGTTAATTTCATTTAAAGAAATGGCACGACAATGGACAACATTTCCGCTGTAGCATGGCATAATTTAGGCGCAATATTTAACTTCTTCTGGCGGGGCGACATCTTGAGTCTAAAACTTGCCACAAGTAGCTTTGCTACACTACCGCCGCGGCGCGCCGGCAGCTTTAACAATTTTATAGTGGTTTTACGTTCTTTGGCAAATTACGCTCTGTTAGCCATAAATCTTACTATTTTTTGACCGCCTTTGAATCAAGACCCCTGGACC